CAATGTTTTAAGCTTTCTTGGACTATTTCAAACACGTCCCAACCTTTTAAACTAAAAGTAAAAATCGGAGATACAAAATAGAACAAGAGTTACAAGTGCTCTAGCCTCCTAAGTTGATGTGCAATAACCCCCTGCAAGGTGAAGTAGCAATTTTACTACAACAACGTCTTGTAACCCAAGACCTGCAGCACGAAGCTTCAATATCCATTTTCTTTTATACGTCTAGTTACATCTGTGATTTTTATTCTTTTATCTCCGGGTTTCCTTTTCCTTTGAAGTCAAAACATTCAAAATGTTTTAGTAGATGGTTAAATAATGCACGCTCTAAGAGAAACCAAATTCTTTTCTCTCATGGAACAAATGGCCTTCATACAAGATTTAGCCATATTAAATACTAAACCTTTTCGCTGTCATCATTTCTTCATTAATGCTCTATTCAAGTTTCAATATCATTCACTTGGAAAAGATGCAACAAATGAAAGGAAAATAAAATTGAATAAGATATAATCCTATCTAATCGTTCAGGAAATTAAACCTGCTGTACTCAGAATCCAATCATTTTTCATAAGTTGACCTACAAATCTATATTGTTATGTATGTAAATCCAAGGATTTTAGCCCATTATATCATTGCCCTCAAACGAAGTGGCAGGAAAAATAATCAGTGAGGCCGTTCCCATATTTATCCAGATAGATATTAGTTTGCTACAGTTATTGTAACAGCTTGGTACCACAAAAAACACAGTTTTATCAATATGTAAGTGATGAGACTGAGTGAAAAGTGTAAATCTACCTGTGAGGACCGAGAAAGAAGTTTCCCCCATGCATCCCCAGCATGCGATTTCAGTTGCCCCTTCTTTCCTCGATTCGCTGCTGACCCATTCAATTTTACTTTCTCCGTGTCAGTTACAGAAACACCTACGTCTACGACCAAAAAAGTTAAAAAATGATAAATAAAATTAAAAATTGGCTAAGAACAAAGAAAATATAAACTACTATATCAAGTCAAAGCAAGTGCAAAGAGACAATCACAAATATAGTTATCGGAAAATTCAGAGGCACACCTTCCACCACCGCCTCTGGTGATTTCTCCACATCCAACTTCTTCGCACCACCATCATCGGCCAGATCAACGGATCAAACCTCATCCCTTACTGATTCCTTCGCCACAGCCTCACTTACCAGTTCATCCACCGCCAGTGAATCATTCGTTGATGAAGACGGTGCCTCCGCCGCCTAAGTCCAACCAACAGCTCAAAACTCAAAATCATTCAAAACTTGCACGACAACAAAAAAAACTAGGAAATTCCTAAATTTTTAAAATTAAAAAATCGAAAAAACCCTAACCTTAGATCTTTTCCTGCTAGGTAAAGCAGAGGATGGAGAGGACAGAGCACGATTAGAAGGCAGTGGGGTGCCGACGGTTGGGGAAGAGAGCCGATTTCTTAAGGGCCGGTGAAGATGCGACGACAAAGGCTGCTGTGGGAAGGAAAACCCTCGATTCTTTCTCTCTAAACAATGAAATAAATGTTCTGGAACCACAAAAGAGAGAGAATAATTTTTTTAGACCCAATTGACTTTCAAACGGCTGAATGGAACGGTTGAGGGGAGTCGGCTCAAAAACGGCTTGTGAACAGTAACCGGAAATCTCCCTCTTTTATATATAGCTAGAAATGACGAAATATGATGTGTTAGGATTTTTAGACTTGGTATTGTTTTAATTAAAATTGGATTTGGATTTTTTTTTTTAATTGTTTATTTCTTAGTAGAATAGGATTTGTGTTGCTTTATGTATTATAGAAATTGTTTATCGTTTACGAATATGATTAGTTAATCATATCTTATAAATAAGAACTTCTCCATTGTATTTCCTTTATCTCAGTTTGTAATATAGTTATGTGCTATCTCGTGGTGAGAATTGGGGATCCTTTGTAGTGTTACCCTGCCCGATTTTGGGGTGTGCTTGAGGGTTTGGAGTGTACGAGGAATTCTCTATGATTGTGAATTTTCATAGCCTTTGTTTGGGTTTCCTTTCGTTTTGTTAAAAC